CATCTGCCGGGAGGGACATGCCACTGGTTAAGAAAACCTGCCGGGAAACTGTGCAAAAAAGACATCCTCGTACCGACTAAGTCCGGGTTTGTGATCAGGTTGTGGTAATTTTATGCGGTTACATCTGGTTATTTTTTGTTTCAGAATCCCCTAGCATTTTATGATATTAGTGTTTCTTCGACACGTAAATACCAACTAACTGCTTGAAAATTACTTGATAATTTGTCTTTGTATGAAATTTCAGGGTTGTTTAAAAAATACTTATTCCCCAACACCACCAGTCTGCTTCTATGTAACTCTCGAGAGAGGGAGCCACTGATAGCCTTCCCAGCTGGTGATTTTTGTTGGCACTTACTACCACTCAGGTTATTTTCGAATGTTTCTGCCTCTCGTAAGAAGCGAATAAGAAGAGAGTTTGGTTTTTAACTCTTTTCGTAAGGAAGAAAAAAATCTGAATGACAAGTCTGTTAAACATATCAGGCAACAAAAATCCATTATAAATTTAATGCCTAGATTACCACATCTTAATTCAGTTTACTTTTATTTCCAAAGAAAATTTCATTTAACCCACGAATTTCTGGCGTCTTGAGAGGAAGGAGTAATGCTTATCTGTAGTTTTCCCCCAGTGCATTGATTAGATAGGGTATTAATTTCAAGGTTACAAGGCTACTTTATGAACGGCTGTTGCTCGAGATCATCCAGAACTGTTTGTGCGAAGCTCTGGTCTTACTTGCAAGCACCCATGCATAAATACTACTTATGTCAGTCCGCTTTATCGCGAATTCTATGCCGAAACCTTGTAGCTCCTATTTGTATAGCTTACACACACTCTATCTCGTCGAAAGCGTCCTAGGAAGATCCTTTAGAATAATAAGGAAGTCGAATGCCGGCTGTGGGCTGAATTTCAGCTCCAGTTTATAGTGGCTCGAAAGACCAGATAATCCGATCAAAAAATGAAAAAAACAGAACCCCATGGGAAAGTGGTATGCAAATCACTGGCGCATGGATTAATATCAATGAGGATGCACAATAATCCTGCAAAAAGTGTTTACTAACAGCAACAAACTAACTCAAAACGTCGACTAAAGGACAATGGCTTTCCTCTGTCTATGCTCATAAATTATAATCATAAATTTTTCTTTTTCACTTATATAGTTCTATGAAAGAAGTATTAGCTGGATGAATTTAAATGAAGCACCAGAAAAGAGGAAATATCGCTTTTCGACAAATCTTTACCAAGTTATTTTTGGAAAATGTTTTTCAGCATTTTCCGCCGCGACTCAGCCCTTGGCAACTGGCACTTATCATACAGTTCCTGCTGAATTCAATCTCAGCAAGCAGTCCTAACTAATCCTATTGTGAATAAGCTCTAAAAAACATCTTTCGCCAACTTACCCACACTGAGACCTCCGAATCTCACAGTTAACAATATGTGTCGGTAAAAAAAAAATTGATGTTAGCTTACCC